TCTGACAGCTGCTAACCAGATGAGGAGAAAAAAGAGGTGGACTCAAAAAAGGTAACATAGGCACTAATAAAGAACTGACGAGACTTGGGATGATAACACCGATAACCTTTCTGTATACGGGAATAGATGACAAAAATACATTTGCGAGCACGGGGAGATAATTTATCCAGCCCCGAATCAAGGACATGGACAAAGGCCATACAACCAAAAACACGAGGAAGAGGAAACGGAGAACAATTGGGGTATAATTGAGAGAAGGGAGACTGATTATTTAAAACAACTGAGGGCATGCGGTTAATAAGGAAACATGCAGTCAACGCAACATCACCCCAAAATAGTTTAGGAACATGCATGTTAAACATCGAGGTCCAACATCTAGCAAATGTCGGTGTTTCCGCTCGGCAACACCATTTTGCTGGGATGTATGAGCACAACTAGTTTGATGAGTAATACCACAAGCATCACAAAAATCATTCACAATAGATTGCACATATTCTAAGGCATTGTAAAACCGAAATATCTTAATGCGTTTCCTAAACTAAGTAAAAATTTCATTATAAAACTTAGAAATTATTTAGGGTGAGTCAGAATGCTGCCATAATAAAAACAATCGAGTCATCTGAGAATAATCATCCACAAATATAACAAAATTAAAAAAAAAAACATTCACAGTGGGAGTGTGTGAAGGACCCCATATGTTTGTATGGACTAAATCAAAAGACACTGACACACGACTAATACTATGATTAGAGAAAGAACTACGGTGATGCTTGCCGAGCTGACACACTTCACATTCAAGTTGAGACAAATGGCTTAAACCTGAAATAGCTAACTTAAGCTTGGCCAAGGATGGATAACCCGACGGAAATGCCATTGCAAGGGAGACACGGTAGCACTCAAAACCGTAGAACTAGAAGGAGGAGAACCAACAGTGTCCAAAAAAATACAAACCATCCTTCTCATGCCACAAACCAATCATCTTCTTGGTCTGGAGGTCCTATAAAACACAAGAAGAGGGAGAAAAGGTTACAGAACATTGTAGAACTTTAGTTAACTGACTAACAGAAAGCAAATTAAAAGGAAAGGACAGGACATAGAGACTAGAGGGTAAGGAGAGAGATAAAGTGGCTGAAGAGTGCCCTGGCCACTAACAGGTCGGGAGGATCCATCAGCAAGTATAATATTATGAGTAACAGGATGAAGAGTATGAAAAAGAGAGGAATTACCAGAAATATTAGAACTAGCGCCGGAGTCTAAAAGCCAAGGTTGAGGGGATTGAGCCATGCATGCAATATTACTTGAGCTAGCTAATGTAGCAGTAGAAGATGAAGGAAAAGTAGTATGAAGAGAATTGACTATCTCAATAAGCTCGCTAATCTTGGTGGTGAGTGCATCATGAGAATCAGCTGGGGAAGCACCTGGTCCAAAGGGAACTGAAGTCGACTGAAAGGATGGAGCATCCATAACCTGATTCACATGATCAGGTTTACCATACTTCTACCAACACCAAGGTTCAGAATGACCCAAGGCACTACAATGAGTACATTTCCGATTAGCACGAGATACAACATCAATACCACGGCCACCACCACCACAAGAACCATGAGAATAAGACCACCACGAGAACCACGTGAACCAGTATGGGATCCACGAGAACTAGTGCTGCCAAGAAAATTACCTCGATGAGGCCCTTGGTCACTACTGTTAGAGATCAAGGCAGAAGAGGACAAGGGCTGAGAAGAACCAGATGTGGAAGAAGCCTGTCCCAAAGAAGAACGCAACAATCAAGAATAGGCATTAGCAGCAGAAGGTAGAGTCTCATTAGTAAGAATCTGATCTTTGAAACCTTGTAGATCAGAATCTAAGCTCATAAGGATGCCATCATAAACTCCTCCCAATATTTCTTTTGTTGAGCCAAATCAGTAGTAAAATGTCGGTGCTGCAACAATTGGTCCCACAAAGTCTTCAAGCCACTATAATAGTCAGGAAGAGGACGGCCAGACTCGCGGGTAGCAAAAATCTGTTCATACAACTCATAAACTCGAGAGGCATTAGTCTGATTAGAAAAGGACTCAGCAAGGGAGTCCCAAATGGCCTTATAGGTGTCACAAAATTCAACGGTTGTAGCAACATTAGGCTCTAAACTATACCAAAGCCATCCTATAACATAGGAATCCTCAATCAATCATCATGACATTTATCATCCTCAGCAGGTGGAAGGTCAGTAAGAAAACACGACTTCTTCTTGCCACGCAAGAAAATCTTAACGGTATGAGCCCAAGTTAGATAATTTAAACCATTCAATTTCTTAGTGGCAATAGACTTGGGGAACTCATCATCCTTAGTTATGGAAGATTTCACATCATGTTTTGGCTCAGCCATGATAAGGAGAACAACCAGCAGATGCTAAGGGAAAAAAACAAAACACAAGGACAATCAACCAACAGGAATAAAGTGGAGTAAGGAAATTACCAACCAACAGTAACCAGCAAGCAGCCAACCAGCCCAAAGGAAGAGCCAAAATGATTAACCAAGGCCAAAACAAAGGTGCCGAACAACGCAAATCCACCAGATATCGTCAAAAATTGACCCAGCAACAACACGAAGCAAAAACAATCTCAAAGATGTCCTAGGGCTATTTCGGCTCCCAAGGAAGAGGTTTCAACAAGCAAATAACTCTGAGTAAGGAGCTTTATCGCAAATCAGAAATATGACACCATTAAATCAAAAATCTTTCAAAAATAGAAAACTCACATTTAGATGGTCTCAAAAAAAATCCACAAAAATCACCATTGAGATCAGAAGAGGAAGACGACCAAGAAGGGGTCACCTTGTCCGTATAGTCTATGACGTCATGCTGACGTCATCGTACGGAAGATGACGTCAGGACATTATTGTCACCTCAAAGGAATCGAGAGTGACTGAAGAACACTTTGATAAGGTTGAATCAAAGCTCTAATTTCAAGTTGAAGTGTAAAAGTATAGAAAACTTTGATTAGGGCCAAAGAGAAAAGGAGAGAAGGAAGAAGGAGAAGACTGTATATATTATTAAACGTATGTTTCTTGGTTCCTTTCATAAACCTAAAACATCAACAAATATAGAGTATACAATATGACCATAGTACCCTCACTCAACACAAAAAATAACATATGATGTGTTTAATTATGAGTGTTCATGGATGGTTTTATTGTAATTATTTCGGGGCATTACAGAAAACGTAGACACTATTACAACACATCTGAAAATATGATTTTAAATCTCTATAATAACATGTATTTGAAAAAGGAAATAGAATGAGAGATGGTGATATGACTTACTTGTTTGCTAGATTGCTATGGCTTGGTTAAAGTCTTCTCTCTGTTTCTTTCTCCCTTCAAGGTTACTATTCGCTCTCCTTCTCTCTATCTCAATCGTATGTAGTGTGGGTGTGTGTTTGAGTATGCAAATGCTAAGGGGGTGGTGATGTATTTATAGGAAATTTGGTGTGAAAAGTCCAAAATGCCCTTGGTTCCAAAGGAATTGAATAGTCTTTGGATCTTTGGATTTAGTTGGAATGTAATGGCATGAGGGGTGATTAGGGTCCTAATTATGTACTTAAACAAGTTCTAGTTAGGGTTATCTTGAATTAGAACTAAGCTAGTAACAAGCACAAGAAAAGTTCCCTAGATTTTAGGATCCTAGTCAAAAGTCTTCCCTAAATTCATGAAATTTGTTTTAAAAAGGACACTATAATGTTTATTTATAGGGTGGCCGGTCATGTAGTATAGATTTGAGGAACTTTTTCTCATTTATTTGTGTACAAACTCTTATATATATATATATATACATTGTAGATATTTTGAAAAAATATTATAATATTAGAGGTGTACTTTTATATGTATAAAGAATGATTTGGGCTCAAAATGTAATTAAAATAAAATGTGTGGGGGTTGGAATTAATTAGAATATCTATTTCATAATTAAAATAATGTTAGGAAAAATAATTTGGTTCAAATAATCTTGCTTTGAATTAAAAGACACATAACCAAATGAAAATGATAAAAATCGAAAATTAAGATTTTAAGCTACTAATATAAAATTTGAGAGTTAAATAATTAATACTAGAGTGTTAGAAATGATTTCAATGTTACCGCGATCCATTAGAGTTTGTATGGGTTCATCCGTGATATATTTTCAGTTCTAGGGTTAATATATTGAATAAACGGGGATCTAAGGGGTTTTATTGTAATAATTCAAAAGTCAGCGTCTTACTAAGATTTACAAAATTTAGGAATCTCACATTATATCGTTGAAAAAATGATGACGTCATCTTTTTTACATAAAAGTATATATTTTACATTATTTATTTTTGTATTTTTACATAATCGGTATTAATGTCGGTTCATTAACTATACTAAAACGAAATCAATATAATTATCTTAAAATTGTGATATTCACCAAAAAAAAAAAAATGTTAAAGTTGTGGGAGTTAATATTATTTTTAAACTTAAGGAAAGATGTGCAAGTGATTCTTAAATCTACATTTTACAACTTATTTTTAAGTAAAATTTGAAAATAATTATGTTATGAGTCATTACATATTTCAAAAGAGAATAATGGATTGGACTATAAGCAAAACCTATGGAGATGATTGATTGGTCACACTATTTGATAGGTAGAACCTCTAAGCATGACACGCATTGCAACTCCCGTCATTGTTTGCCACATAGCCTACGAAAGGGAGCTTCTATCTACACACACCAAATCCCCTCTATACACACACTTAATGATATTTATTTTTATTACAATTTTATCCCTAAGTGAAATTACTTTTTGAGACATCATACCCAATTCAAAACGTCTCAATGCACATCCATCCAAACTTCACATATGTTGAAGCTCCAAGTTTGTAGCTTCTTCCATTGAAGCTGTTGAATTCTTCCTCATTCATCATACATTAAGCTAGAAAGGAAAGCATCAACCTTCCTCATTCGTAGCTTCTTCCTCATTCATCATTGTTATGGAGGATTTGTCTTATGAAAATCAGCAAATAAATGTTTATGAGAAACATAGTGAAGGAAATGTGAGTTTCTCTTCTTCTTTTTTCCAGCGTCGTTCGGATAACCAAAGTCGAATTATATTATTTTGTTCGGAAATCTACTACCGAAATAAGTATTTAATTTCGGAAGTTTTTGTCCGAAATAAGTTAACTTTTACAACATTCAACTTCCGAAATTTTAAAATTAATTTGGACAACTACTTTAGAAAATTAGCATTTTGTTCAACACTGTACTTCCGAATGAAGTAAATTTTTTTTCTCAAATCACTACATTAGCTTCTACTCTACAAACCAAGAAGAAGCGACCTGTTAAGGGAAAGGAGAAGGTGAACCCGAAAGGGAAGGCATACATTACTAGAACAGTGAAACCTGGTGCATATGTCAAATGTAAATGTTTGATAATATTTATTTAACTTTGTAGGTATTCAAAAGTAAGGATGAATTGCTTAACTGGGTACGTGAAGTTGGAAAGAGAAATGGTTTGGTCATTGTAATCAAAACATCAGACTATGGTGGAGGGAAAAAAAGACCCAGGATGTATCTTGCTTGTGAGAGGAGTGGCCAATATAGAGCGAGAAAGAAGTTAAAACATGATGGCAACAATATATCAAGAATAACCGGTACGAAGAAGTGTGGTTGTCCTTTTGATATGAGGGCTCACAGGTTTACCACACATGATGAATGGACATTGACCGTAGTATGCGGATTGCATAATCATCCACCTGCGGAGCACCTTGAGGGACATTTATATGCGGGGAGGCTATCAAAGGATGAGAAAGCATTGTTAATAGATATGTCAGAGAGCATGGTTCGGCCAAAAGAAATCCTAGTAACCTTAAAACAGCGAGGTGCCCTCAATGTAAGCACACTTAAACCATTTACAATGTACGCCATCGAAATAGGGTGGTACAGAGAGCTGGAAGATCACAGATGCAACACTTATTGGGTGAATTGGCCAAGTATAATTACATTGAGCGCCATCGGTCTGAAGAGTCCACGATGACTGTGACAGACTTGTTTTGGGCACATTCTACCAGTTTGGACTTATTTCGGTCTTTCCCACGTATATTAATTATGGATTGCACATATAAAACCAACAGATATCGTCTTCCTCTTCTTGAAATTGTGGGAGTGACATCAACTGAAATGACATTTTCTGTAGCTTTCGCATACTTACAGTATGAGAGGGCCGATAACTATGCGTGGGTGTTAGCTACATTGCGTGATGTCATGGATGGTTTTGTTATGCCAGCAATTATTGTTACTGACAGAGAGCTAGCCTTGATGAATGCCATACGTAAGATATTCCCGAATGGCAGACATTTATTAGGTCGTTGGCATATCAGTAAGAATGTATTGACCAAATGCAAGAAAATGTTTGAGACACAGCAAAAATGGGAGAAGTTCAACCATGAGTGGAACTCTTTAGTGTATTCATCTTCTGAAATTCAATACGATGAGCATCTTAAATCATTACTTATGGAATTCAGTAGTTATCCTGATGCAATCAAATACGTCATGGATACTTGGTTGGTTCCTTACAAGGAGAAATTTGTGGCGGCATAGACAAACACGTGTATGCATTGTGGCAATGTTATAACGAACCGGTAAGATTACTTTTGTTCAATATGTTATTAATAAGTGCCATGTACTTGATTTTAATTTGACTTACATTAAATTGAACATGGCTGAGAGTGCACATGCAAAACTTAAAAGACAATTGTGTTCCTGTCAAGTCTCATTTCAGGCATCATTTGAGAAAATACACAGTCTGCTTGAGTTACAACACACTGATATCAAGGCTTCATTTGAGAAAAGTCTAACTGTTGTGCAACATCAATTTAAACCTTCTCAGTTTATGGAGCTACTGGGTAATGTGTCTATCTCTGCAGTAGAGTATTTGCTTGTAGAGAGTAAGAGAGCCAATTCCATTGGTATTGATGTTGAAGCTTGTGGATGCGTCCTTCGCCACACTCATGGTTTACCTTGTGTCCATGAGATTGCTGACTACATCGGACAAGATCGTCCTATACCACTTGCTACCATACACTCACAGTGGAGGCAACTTCATATCTCCATATGCAAGAAACGAGGAAACGGAGGTGAGTTGTCATGCAGAAGTAGAGTTATTTGTGAACAAGTTTAATGAAAGTGATAGAACCATGCGGTTGGAGCTTTTGAAGAAGTTGAAAAAGATTGTATATCCGGGAAACACTTTTCTTGTTGAGCCGGAGGTGAAGCCCAAAACACGTCCTTGGGATCATAAGAAGATCAATGTTTCTACCCGTCGTGACCTGTGTGCATTTGAGTTCGTGCAATCTGGACATGATTCCTTCTCACCTAGACACTCAAATCACTACATTAGCTTCTACTCTGGAAACCAATAAGAAGCGACCTGTTAAGGGAAAGGAGAAGGTGAATGTGAAAGGGAAGGTATACATTACTAGAGCAGTGAAACCTGGTGCATATGTTGATGCTTTCCCTTCTGGGTTGAAACCATACATTAAGTTTGTCAAGGATGTAGCTGCATATGGGAATTGTGGTTTCAGGGCTATAACTGCTTCAATTGGTCATTCAGAAAATGATTGGGCTCAGGTTAGGCATGATCTGTTAGGTGAGCTGCATGCACACAAAGAGGAATACATTACACTTTATGGGTCCTACGAAAGGTTTGAAGAATTGACAAGCATATTGTCATACTTTGAAGACAGTCCTGGATACTCACATTGGATGACTATGCTAGACATGGGGCATCTTGTTGCATCGTGCTACAATCTTGTGTTATACCACTTGTCATTACAACAATGTCTCACTTTTTTACCTCTTAGAACAGTGCCAGTACCTCAACTTGATAGACGTGAGATTGCCATTGGGTTTGTCAACGGAAATCATTTCGTCCAGGTATAACAGAAACTTATCAATTTGTGTATGTACAAGAAGTTATGAGGTATGACCACTAACTCAATTGACATTTGGTGCAGGTTTTGTTGCAGCCAGGCCATCTAGTTCCTTCTATAGCCACTAATTGGAGAAAATACCATCACCCTTGCGCTGTCGACTGGGATGATACATATATGCGCCGAATTCAACATTTTAAGGACATTATTCATGATACTGTAGCTGCTTGAGAGACATTTGATGTTGTTGATGTCACATGACACATGTATGCATTTGACAATGTTAGAAATATGGAAGAAATTAATGAATGTGTTTTTGATGTTGATGTGTTCTGTGGCATGGATTGAATGTTATCGACCATTGTTACCATTCCATTGTAATAAGAAAATATCATTTACAAAATCAACGACCATTGTTACCATTCCACTCTAATAATAAAATGTCATTTTCAATGGTATCAACCATTGTTGCCATTTCATTCTGATAAGAAAATATTGACCACTGTTACCATTACAACAATATCATCTTACAAAAAACACCACAAAAAATTCATCAACTAACAAATAACATGTCACGAATCAGCTGTATGCCTACGCCTAGGCCAACGACTGTATGTCAATGTCGGAGATGAAAAGCGACCTCTAGTATAACTAGGTCCAGCAGAACTAGGTCCAGCTTCGTCAATGTGCTGACCTTCAAGGACATGGGTCATAGTCTCGATAGCCTGGTAAAGTCAATGAGGATATCGAATCCCCTCCTCATAACCAGCCTCAATAATAGGATGTGAAATCTGCTGTGCATGTGTAATACGCTGCATTTGAAAAGAATATCATATTTTAGGTTTTTATATCGGAAAATAAAAAGTAAGTTACAAATGCATAAAAGAGGATAATATATTACATCGGCATGTTGGCTGAAATCCTGATGGTCATGGACACGCGGTTCATCAGTGTGCTCAACATATAGGTGCGTGATATTCTTATATCAATCCATGTAACTCGGTACACATTCCCAAGGCTAACGAACTGGTATGCTCCTCCGCTGCTCAGATAACACGTGGTTATCCCAAGCCTCCCAGATCCTATCCAAGTATCTATACATGATTGTATATTGTGCATATATGTTGCCTCAAGCACCATGACTGGGAGCTAGCGGTGCATCTGGGATGGTTTGAACCCTGCCAAACTGCCTCAGAACTCTATCTGGATGATAGGGTTCGACCACATCTAAGCACTTTAAGCATCCATGGTAGAATGTAATCAGGTTACATGGATGCCGGTCTCTGCAACTGTGGTATGGATCCCAAATAACCTGTAAACGTAAAGTGTTTTTGAATTAAAGTATATAAAGGGTAAGATAAATGGAAAGTGTTAAAATTATCTGAAGACGAGTAAACTTACATCAGTCGCTACCAAACTGTCAAGCTCTGCTCGTAAAGATTTCAAATGATCAATGGAGAAACCCGCCTCTCTCCTAGATGCCCAATGGTACATGTGTGGCATGTTTTCATTATAGTCCATGTTTTGGTGAGGTCGGAATGCTCGGAAGTGTTCATAAATCCATGCCTCCAAAAGAGTCATATAACTACCCATCTGTTTAACACCGGACCGACTAGCATACCCCAACTGTCTATATAAAAATGCTAATGCAGCAGCACCCCAGGCGTAAGTATGAATGGATCCCAAATCCATCAATAAGCCAAGGTAAACAACAGGAACGCTGCCGCCACTCTTGTCATTGAAGAGCGTACATCCCAACAGAAACAACAAATAAGCTCTAGTAGCGCACTGTATAGCCTCCTCTGGATCTGAATCTGTGACACCAGCGAACTGACTTCGCAACCACTCAAGCTTGACTGAATTCCCACCAGAAGTAGAAACCTCTTCATGTACTATACGTTCAGTAATCCCTAAGCCATAAACCAGTAGTGTAACTCCATGATGATCTATCACATCTGATACGCTGACTGATTTGCCTACAATGGGAAGGCCAAGAATAGTGCCAACATCATCCAGGGTCAAGGTCATTTCACCAACTGTCATGTGAAATGTGTTCGTCTCAAGTTGCCATCTCTCAACAAAACTGGAGATTAGAAGCTTGTTGATGAACCGATAAGTGCAACGAGCTAACTGTGACAGCCTAGACTGCTCAATAATGGCTTTGAATCTGGTGTTGTTGTCTACTGACCACCATGGCCATGCAAGGATCTTCGAAGAGTGATTATGACACTTTAGGGGCCCTCGTTCCTATAACACAAATAATATCTCATTAGAAACTACCATACAACACACACAGAAAAAAAAATCATATACAAATGAATTTCACTTCTACAAGGTGCAAGCTAGTTAGTTCGTAGAAAAATGGGTTAGAGTGAGAACCTCCTCCTTCTCTCTAGAAACCTTTGTTTTTAGGGTTTCTGCATTCAATATTTCATTGAGCGGCGCTGATCTTAATGGTAGTTAATAACCCAAATATAGTGATGACCATTAAAGATGTGAGAGAAACCAATGTTGTAATCAAGGTTAGTAGTGTGAAAGTCAAAAATACCCAAATCGTTGAGTCACGATTAGGGTTAGATAATCAAGTTTGCACAAATCTGAGTGTGTTAACGATGAGCGATTTTGGGAACATTGGTCAGAGCTCGAACCCTAACCCTTCAAAGGGTAATACCGCGGATGGCTTATCAAAATCAAACAACCAATCTTTGGATCTTCAAAGGATAGCAGATCGTCTTCAACAGCTTAGAGACCCTGAGTCGATTGGTATAGTCCCCAAATCACCGATCGAGTCCCATCTAAACCCTAGGTGGGCTGTAGAGATGGAGAAGGAAGATTTGTCTTTCAGAAATATCCCAGATAGCTTGGAGGTCGCGAGAATAAGGACCGATGGGAAGAAGCGTGATGCACTTACCCTTCTTTCTGACCCTACGATTAATCCAGATGATCAGGATCCTAATAGTGATCCTGAAACCCTTGATGAGAACAATAGCATTGAATCTCATAGTTGAGGGGGGGAAGCAGTTACAGAGGCGGCCGAGGGGGTAGGGGGCAAGGTGGAGGTAGAGGTCAAAATAGGGTTTCTGAAGCTAAGAAATCGTGGGCCGAGGTTGCTGCAACTGCGAATCGTCCGTGTTTACCTTTAAGGTATGTTCCTCCTTCAGTTAATGATGAGTTTGTCAGTGTTAACCTTCCTCCTAGACTAGATCCATTGGAAAAATGGGATTCTTGCTTAGTGGGGTACTTCATTGACAAGGGCGTTGCTTTTAACTATATGAGGAATAGTGCTTTCAGTATGTGGAAAAATAAAGGGCTAAAGGAAGTGCTTGCCAAGGGGGAGGGTTTCATTTTTTTCATCTTTGAAAGCCCTAGCTGCTGTAGTGAAGTCCTTGAGGGAGGGCCATGGTATATAGGGGAATTTCTTCTTATCCTCAAGAAATGGACCTGTATGATGAGATTAACTAAAGATAAAATCCAAAAAGTTCCAGTGTGGGTAAAATTCTTCAATGTCCCGATGGAATATTGGGATACTGATGGATTGAGTAGGATAGCGAGTGCGGTTGGAGTTCCTTTATTCACGGACCATCTGACAGATAAGGGGACTAGAGTGGCATTTGCTAGGATTTGTGTGGAAGTGGATGCTAATGCCAAACAACCACCTTTTTTCCCTGTCTACTGTGGGGAAAGACAGGTGATTGTTAAGGTTGAATATCAGGGGCTCCCGGCTAAATGCGAACATTGTTTGGTCTTTGGGCACGACACAACAAAGTGTGTTGCTACACAAGTAGCAAAGTTAGTTAACCTTCAAAAAGAAACTGAGAATAATCCAGATCTTGGATGGAGCACAGTCAAGGCAAAGGGTAAGAGGAAAATGGGTGATCCAGAGCCTATCGAGGAAGAGATGGTTGAGAATCTAGCTACAAATAATTTAGATATGGAAGTTTAGACTCAAGCTCCAGAGCTCAATAGCCAGGTTCCATCAGAGGCTATCAATGCCATGGTTACTGACACAATTCTGGGCAATCAGAGTGTTAATATTGCAGATGCCGTTAACTTTGATACTGCTATTCCTCACTGGATAGATGGCCTAGCAGAGATACAAAAGGAGCTGTTAGACATTGCTATGATAGCTCTTCCTGGGGACTCCGAAATTTTGGAAAAAGTGAAGAATCTGGTCACCACCGAGGACAGCTTACAAGCTACTCCTGACAACTGTCCTACAAGTTCTACCACCAAAAAATCCTCTGGCAAGGGTAAGAGCCAGAGGAAGAAAAAGAGGTAACTCCTGTTCCTTGGGTTGAGAATTTAGTTTTTGTTTCCCATGTCTTTTAAAATTGCTTCTTGGAATATTAGAGGGTTCAATGACCCCTCTAGACAAAAAGAATTGAGGAAAATTTTGATTAAGGAAGAAATTAAGGTTATGGGTGTTTTGGAGACCAAAATAAAAGACCAAAATAAAAGCTATTAATGAAGATAAAATTTTCTCATCTTGTATGAGCAAATGGTCTTTTTTGACTAATTCTCAACCAAATAAAACTGGTAGGATTTGTGTATATTGGGATCCTGATTTTTGTAATGTCACAATGCTTAACTTTTCTGATCAGTATATTCTTTGTGAAATTACTGATTTATCTCAGGCCAAGGTTTTCATTTTGTTTATGCTGAGAATAGCCCTATTTTGAGGAAAGATTTTTTTGATAATATGCTGAGGCTATCTCTCTTTAACTCTGCCACCCCTTTATCTTTTCTAGGGGATTTTAATGCTATTAGGTATAGTTTTGAAAAAATTGGGGGCTCTCTTCAGTGGAATTGTGAGAAAGAGGTTTTTAACTCTTATATTCTAAATGCTGAGCTTGTTGATTTATACTATGGGGGGTGCCAATTTACTTGGGCTAACAAAAGGACTAGGGATGACTACATAGCCACTAAAATTATTAGAGTTTTGGTCAATGAGTCTTGGGTTGATCAATTTCCTGCGTCTAATGCTATGTTTCTCCCCTCTAGTATATCTGACCACTCTCTAGTTGTTGTTACTGTTTCTGGCAAGGCCCCCTCTTTCAAAAAACCGTTTAAATATTTTGACTTTTGGGCCAAACATGAGGAGTTCCTTCCTTTAGTTTTGCAGGACTGGAACTAATACATTATTGGTGTTCCCATGTTCAGAGTTTGCCAGAAACTCTGTAGTCTGAAACCTATCCTTAAATCCTTGAACAAGAAGGATTTTAGTGATATTTCTACTAGAGTCCTGGCTACTAAAGCTGAGTTGGATTCCATTCAATGGAATGTAGATAAGGATCCTAGTAATAGCTCTTTTCAAATCCTTGAAAGGAGTCTTCTTAAAAAGTATGTGGATCTTAGTGCTGCCGAGGAGAGCCTGGCCCATTAGAAATCTAGGGTCCAGTGGCTTGGCTTGGGAGACAAGAATAGCATATTTTTCTTTAGATCTGTTAAGAGTAACACAAATAGAGGTAAAATTCTTAATGTTGAGCTTGAGGGTGGTAGGTTTCGTCTAAACCTGAGGATGTTCATAATGCATTTATAGATTATTTTTCTAAGCTTTTTGGCACTCCTCCTCAAGATCAGTATAGGGGCTCTAGTAGAGTTCAAAATCTTATCCATTCTAGAGTCACTACTGATCAAGCTATTAAAATGGCTAGCCCTGTTTCTGACAAGGAGATTAAGGATGTTTTCTGGTCATTAAAAGCTAATAAGGCCCCGGGCCCTGACGGGTTTCAGCGGGTTTCTTTAAAAGTGCTTGGAGTGTTGTTGGTAAAGATGTGACCCAGGCTATAAGAGCTTTTTTTGAATCTGGAAAGCTCATTTCTGAAATCAATAATACTACCATTGCTCTCATTCCTAAAATTCCTAACTTGGTGAAAGTTGGGGATTACAGACCTATCTCCAGCTGTAATACAATCTATAAGTGCATTGCTAAGATTATTGCTAACAGAATTAAAGCTGTCCTCCATGATCTTATTGATCCTGTTCAATTTGCTTTTGTTCATGTGAGGAGAATCTTTGATAATTTTTTCCTGTCTCAAGAGATCATGAGAGGTTATCATAAGGAATCTCCTGTTCCTAAGTGTGCTATGAAAGTGGATATTATGAAAGCTTATGACACTGTTAGATGAGAGTTCATCATTGATATTCTTACTGCTATGGGGTTTCCCCAAGTTATGATCTCATGGATTAAAGCTTGTATGACTAGTCCCTCATTTTCTATCTATATTAATGGTAGCCTTCACGGCTACTTTAAAGGGGCTAGAGGTCTTAGGCAAGGAGATCCTATGTATCCTTATCTATTTGTTTTGGCTATGGAGGGCCTTTCTAGGATCTTGGATGAAAAATCTAAGCATCCTCTCTTCAGATTTCACTGGAGATGTGAAAAAACTAGAATTGTTAATCTTTGCTTTGCTGATGATCTTATGATCTCAGTAAAGACGATGTTAACACTGTTCGGTTGATTATGGAAGGTTTGGATGAGTTCAGCTCACTATCTGGCCTCACTCCTAATCCTAGCAAGAGCAATATCTATTTCTCTGGGTGTAATAAGGTGTTGAGAGAGGGTATCCTTCAAATTGCCACTTTTACTGAGGGGACACTTCCTGTCAAATACCTTGGAGTGCCCCTTATCACTACCAAGTTGAAAGCCTTGGATTGTAATCAACTTGTTGACAAAATCACCAAGAGGATTGGTAGTTGGACCAACAAATTTCTCTCCTATGCTGGTAGGGCACAAATTATCCAGACCATCTTGTTCTCCATGCAAGTGTATTGGTCTTCCTTGTTTATTCTGCCTAAGAAAGTTATTAAGGAGATTGAGTATCTTTTTAGAGCCTTTCTTTGGTCTGGCACGGATCTTAGGAAGCATAGTGCGAAGATTGCTTGGGATATAGTTTGCACTCATAAGAAAGAGGGTGGTCTTGGCTTTAAATCTATAGAGATTTGGAATAAGGCTGCCATTGCCAAACATGTTTGGTTCCTCTTTTCAGGAGGAGAAAAATCTATGTGGTGCCAATGGGTCAAATCCTATCTCATCAAGGGGAGGTGTTTTTGGAAGATCAAAATACCTAATGACCCTTCGTGGGTCTGGAGGAAAATCCTCTCGCTTAGGCCTATTATCTACCCTCTTATTAGACATAGGATTGGTAATGGTCAGGATACATTTTTGTGGTATGACAACTGGCATCATCTGGGCCCTCTTTGGGATAGGTATGGTGACAGAATCATGTATGACTCTGGTTTAAATGGGAATTCCAAAGTTAGTCAGATTATTGTAGGGGGTTCCTGGAAATGGCCTTTTCCTAACTCTTGCGATCTTAGGGAATTAACCTTCCAAACCCCTAACAATAGTTTTCCTCAACCTTTGGAGTTAGATAAAGCTATCTGGTCCTTAAACCCAGATGATGAATTCATTATCAAATCTTCTTGGGAGTTGTGGAGAAATAAGCAGGATACTGTTCCTTGGTACAATTTGGTTGGGGCCATTCTAGTATTCCCAAAGTCTGTTTTGTGGTTTGGATGGCTATCTATGGTAGGTTGAATACAAGTGATAGACTCCAACTGTTTGGTATATCTTGTAGACCAACTTGTCCATTCTGCCTTGATCATGATGAAAGTCATTCACATCTTTTCTTTGATTGCACTTTCACATACAGAATTTGGCTTGCAATGCAAGGTAAATGCAATGTTCAATGGAATAATGTGCCTTGGCCTGAAATTGTTACGATTGTCCATAGTGAGAGTAAAGGGATGTCTTTGAAATCTATCATTACAAGACTCTCATTTCTCTACACTGTGTACTATGTTTGGATTGAAAGGAATAACATAATTTTTAATAAAGAATGCAAGCCGGTTGAGGTTACTATTACCTCTATTGTGCTGATGGTGAGGAGTAGAATGTTGTCTATTAGCAATATTCCTATGGCAGCAGGTGATAATTAGTTCCTGATGCATTGGAATCTTCCTACTTCCATCCTGAAGCCCCATCTTTGCAGTGGTGGGAGCGCTGCTGAGTGATGTGAGTTCAGTATAGGGAGAGTCGAGTGATTGTGAGCATGATATTGAGTGTTAATCTAATTATCTGTTACATGTGTAGGTGTATTCTTATGGAGCTTGATTTTATATGTGGGTTGAGTGTGGTGAGACAAATAGTTATTATTTCTTCAAACTTCTGTGGGTTGAGTGAAACTAGTCTCTATATGTTTTATAAGCTTACCATTATGTGCAGGTTAAGGAAGCTTTTCCGAGTGTGGTGAGGTCTTATATTGTGGGTTGAGTGTTGTGAGCCCACATAATGTGAATTTAGCAAACATTGTCTTGGGTCTTCTTTATCTCACTGATAATGTTTTCTATATATCTCTGCTGTCCTAGCAGGTCATTCTATATTGTCTAGGACAAACAATCCATCGTTGCTTAACTAAGGCCTGTCATCTCAAGCTGCAGTTATAGTCTTCGAAGTTGGCTAGAGTGAGGAATGGGTCTATGGGAGTGGCTACTGCATGCGCCGTTCGAAAAACTCAGATTGTTCATAAGCTATCTGTTATTTTCTTTTTGTTTTATACGTACTATAGCTACATTCGTATTTTGCCTACTCTAGTGGGATGTACTAGAGACGTTTTGTTACTCGTTACTAAGGTGCTGGATGCATGCATTAGTTGCTGGTTTCTTCTCCAGCGCCTTTTGGGATTCTTGTTACATCCCGTGGGGAGTTTGTTTCAAGGCTATGCTGGTTCAGGGTTGTGTGAGTGGATGGGATATTTTGATTGCTACTGTTTTGATGATGTGGATGACTGGATCTTAGCTGTTATTTGCTTCTTTATTAGTTTTTGTTAGTTTCTTCGCTTTTGTTCAATTGTTATTTCTCTCAGATATAGTGCTTGAACATTTTGCGTCTGGTTTTTATTTATGTTTGCTTTTCTTGGTTTTGCTTTCTCTTGTATAGTGCGTGTAGGGCCTGGGGCATACCCCTTGTAAATCTTGTTCATTCTCATGTTTTATTTTATGACTTATTTACCCAAAAAAAAAAATTTCACTTATACTCAGGAATGTTTACCTCCCCGTGCCAAACAGCTGCAGCGACATGATTATTGAAACTCCGCAGTATTGATGGATCAGTCGGTCCACCTAGAAAAGCATGAGTAAGGTTCTCTTCCTGGACAGCAGGAGAATCGGGTAAAGAGGCATCCTCCACAGCAATGTCAGGCATATCATAACCTTGAACTCGTCTTTGGCTTCGGCTCTGACTTTGACTGGCACTGGGGATATCATATTCTACCGAAAATGGATCATGACCTCGACCACCTCAACCACGACCTTGACCTCGTCCTCGGCCACGCCCTCGTCCCCGTTCATGGTCAACATCTAATTCACGACGTCGTCTATTTGAAGCAGTAGGTGGGACACGTTGTTGACATTCAGAATCCATATTATCTGCAAAAAAGAATATGTTTAATGACTATACAATTGAAACAAGAATATACAAAAGAAGGGGGGGAAATTGTTCGGAAGTTGAAAACCGAAACTACATATTCTGTTCGGAAGTTGAGTGTTGTCCAAATTCAAAATATTTGGAAGTTGATTGTCGAAACAATGAAAAAATTTCAAAAATCTACTGTTGAAATTAATGATTATTTTCAGATTTCTACGTCTGAACAAATTGTTTACTTTCAGAAAACCAGTTCCGAACAACTTGTTCATTTTGAAAATGGTTTAATACAAAACTCTACATTACAAATTCAAATAGGAATGAGGATTGAAAAGTAAACTAACCTAACTACGAATGAGGATTGAAAATGTGCTGGAATTCAATGCTTCTTGATGCATGCAGCTTTGGGATGAAAGCTGTGTGAAGCAGGGAGCTACGGGGAGAGATGGGTAATGTGTGAAAAAGAGTAATGTGAAAGATGCAGCGCAGCTTGAATGGGTGTATTTGCACCGTTGGGAGAGCAATAGGAGAGATGCAGCTTTAATGGGTGTATTTGCACCGTTGGGAGAGTTGGGTTTGGGGGTTTGGGGGTGTGTGTGTGTGTGTGTGTGTGTGTGTGTGTGTAAGGGTAGATGTGGAATGATTAGGAATTAGTTTTTTTGGTGTGTGTAGTGAGAAAGATGTGCAAAGTGGGGATTTGGTGTGTGCAAATAGAAGCTCTCCCTACGAAATTACCACGTAAAAGAAACTAGATAAATACAAACTGTATCCCAATTAATTACTACTTGTTTAAATAATAAAATTCATCATTTTTATTTTAATGGTAAAATCGAATAAGGCATGTGTCACTATAAATGGCATAGAATTACTCAAAGATCATTAAATTACTTCTCACCAAGTAAAGTTTCAATGTGAAGGAAAGTTTTTAAATGCTATGTTATATTTTTTAATGATTTGGACAATTCAGTTTATAGAATACTTTGTATTTGTCATTTATATATATATATATATATATAAAATAATAAATAAGTTAATCTAATATTCCTCATGTGTGTGTATAATTTTCGTCTTATCTATATAGCAAGGTTCTCAAGCTGAGGTACCACGTAGCAAAGTGTCGTTAGCCGAGATGTTGGGATGATCCACATCAGGGTCAAGATAAACGGTGAAGGACAAGAGTCTTGGCAGATGTTGACCCCTAGATTGGATAACATGAAACTGTTTTGAGAGGTTAATCTTAATTTAACTAGGGCAGAGGGAATCCTAGGTGATTTGCTATTCCTTAAGGGTATAAGAGTTTAACATGAGCATGATCACTATGAGAGATAGGACAAGTATTCTAGTTACTTTGTTGAATTATCTTGAGAGATTTGTTTACTGACTTTATTATCGGAGAGTCCTCCCGGTTGATGAGCAATTGGATAGCCATTCTACTCACTTTTTCATACTTGGATCTAGGCTGAGTGCTCTACGGCTTTGTTCTCAAAATTCCCGTTTGACAAGCAAATGAGTTAGTTATTCTGCTCACTTTTTTCAAGCATGGATCTGGACTGTATGCTCTACGGCTTTGTTCCCATAATTCTAGGAGGAAGATCAGAATTTTGTTGTGGTAAGATTTTAGCACTCGCACATCACTTATTCAATTTATTGCACTTGTTATAAACAAAAATAATAATAATTGATAATTTCGTTTTAAAAACACATTAATCGTTCAATTTTTAGAAAACAAATGTAATAAATTGAATAAATTGCGATTGCTGGATTGACTATTTTTTATTTATTAATGATGATATATACGATGGTCTCGACAAAATAAAGGCCATGTTTGATTTGGTTTTCAAAATTTGTTTTAGAAATTTTTCTGAAAAAAATTAAAAATTAATTTGGTTAAATAAATCAAAATTAAAAAAACATTTGTCATTTTTACATTATTTTATATTTTCGAAGACTAGAAATAAATTGTTTCTTGATATTTACTTTCATGAAATTAATTTTTATTTTTTCATAAAAATTTCAAAAACCAAACAAGGCCAAACAATTTACATCATTAAAATAAGATCTGTAATGAACTCATGAACATGAATATCACTGCCCAATCCATGATATGTGCTCTACAAAAATTAGATCCTATAAACAATATCACATATTACTCTGAAAATACTAAATTATTACCAAACATGGAAAACAAACAGTTACCTCCCCATCCCAACACGATCCTGCACCGACATGTTTGCACGGGTGTCCCAACGTCCACCAAGGTTACCTCATGCGACTCTACGTGTCTAGTTTTGGTGCCACGTGGTAAGCCTGCACTAAATCATCTGGGTCTATTTAAAGTTGGTCCACCAACGTCTTTGCCATTGATCGAAAGTGTGGTGATTTTTAAGAATTAAGATTAGAAATTACAGAGAAAGAGAAAGAGAGACTGAAAATGCAGGCAGCAAAGAATGCAACAGCGTCCGCGAAGGAGACGGCGGCCAATGTTGTCGCCTCTGCCAAGGCTGGCTTGGACAAGACCAAGGTCACCATGCAAGAAAAGGTTTCTTTTTCTTTTTTTTCCCTTTAAATATGCTCATGGCATGCTTTTATTAAAATAAAAATAAATATTAAATGATCTATATGCCAAGCTACTACCATATCAAGTCCGATGTATTTTAGGTTTCGTTTATTTCACCAAAAATATTTTACAAAACCTTATTGTCAAATTGTCCTTTACATTCAAGTGACAAACTAAAATTTCTATAGATTATGGGTTAGTTTTCATGAGCGTCACAGATTAACCATGGTATGGGTGCGCATGCAATATGCTGTGGAGTGCACGTTTTATTGAATTAATTTGTGTAAGTTGAATGCATGATCAGTTTATGGTAACAATATATGGTGATTTCACCATATCTATTTAAAAAATTAGGGTTGAATTTCAGAGAACTTGACAGATCCATAATATCTACTACAGATCTGTCAAGTTCTCTAAAATTCAACCCTAATTTTTTATATTACTGATCAAATCATATATCGTTCACCCCTCCAAAAAAAAAATTAATAATAAAATAAGATGATTTGATAATCATAATTTTTTATTTTCTTATGTTTTGTTAGTGAATATTGTATATATATTATTTTCACTATATATATATATATACTAGCATATACCTGTGCTTGAAGACACTGTGTAAATAATGTTAGGATTATAATGTAATTGTAATCCCAATATTATTTAAATTTATTTTTTAATTATACAAATTCACAAATTTATTATAAAATTTTAGAGTTCTCACAAAGCTCCTCACAACAATTCACTTTTACTTATATAATATATAGCTAACACTATTACAAAAACAGATAAAGATCACACTTTTTTTGTGTGATGTTTGTTATTTAATCACACATTTTTTGTTTTATTAAAGTGTGATATTTGGGAGTGTGGGGTCATTTTTAATCACACCTTTTAAGTGTGATTCAAAACATTTAGATCACACCTTTTAAGTGTGATTAAAAATATTTAGATCACACATTTTAAGTGTGGTTGATAACATTTAGATCACACATTTTAAGTGTGATTCATAATATTTAGATCACACATTTTAAGTGTGATTAAAAATATTTAGATCACATCTTTTAAGTGTGATTAATAACATTTAGATCACATCTTTTAAATGTGATTAATAACTAATAAAACATGTGATAATAAACATTTATATCACAGATTTTAAGTGTGATTAATATCTAATAAAACACGTGATTAATAATCAGATAAAATCACATGTTATATGCATTTGAAGAATGTAATACACACTATATACTATATTTTGAATCACAATCATATATTGAATGGAGTGACGCCATATATTTCATAAATGAAAGTTAAATGTTCGAAAAGTGTATACAAAGGAATTAGAAAAAAGTTTTTAACTGTGCTTACATATATTAAAAAATTAAAAAAAACTTGAAAAAACTAAGTTGTTGAATTCTTTGACCATATTTTGCATTTCTCTAAAAAATTTCTGACTTGAAAAATAAAAACACAAATTAATTCAATATTTTTGTAGAGACTTACAAAAGACAAAATCGAATATTTTCTCATCACACTGACTCTTCATCTCCTGCATCAATAGAAAATGAATAACAACTTTGACTGTTACTAATATAAAATGTTTGGATTACCATATATAAATATAACATATACATAGAATCAATAAATCTAAAATGAAAATCTTCAAGGTATGAGCAGATATTTTAAAGTCATAAAACTAAATATACATAAAATCAACAAATCTAAAATGAAATATTGAAGTGATTATATATTCTTTACCAACTAAAGAAATTGTTGATTAGTAATTTAAAGAACGAAAGTTATGTCATACTTACATTGGATTTCAACTCATATTCTTTAGTACGAAATTAATCCATTCAACTCGCACTTCATCAAGTTCGGTTTCCATGTAAGTCTTTTTTCCATTGAATTGCAAGAGCTTATTTACAAACAATTAGATAATGAAGAAGATGTACAAGTATCATGAATATAATAGTAATAAAAGTTTAGAATTTATCTCACATTTTGTTTTCTTAAGATGCTTTGATCTCTAATGAGGTCTTTCATATACCGCATTACATAAAACCCACATTCCACGTTTGTAGGTTGTTGCGGGGACTACATAAAAGCATTTTCATTATTATTAGAAACTATATATAAAGTGTTACGATCAAGCTGAACAATCATTAGCATAATATAAGTATAATAAAATTAGAGAAAATGATATTCATTACCTGAACTACTTTCCAAACTGGATTGGTCCTCCTCTTCTTTTGGGTAGTTTCATAAATTTTCAAAGCACTTTACAAAAGAAATTTCAAATGTCAAAATATTTTTAGAGTAACTCAAATTGCTTAAAAATGTACGAACTAGCCAAACTTACGTGTTTATTACAATTTCAAAGCTTGTGTTTATTTTAGAATTAATCGGATCAAGTAAGTACACAATCATCAATGTTAGATCAATGACTAACAATATCCAATGGTACCTACAATTGAACAAGTCACAAGTATAAGCTTAATAAGTTTATTATCATTTGAACACATGAAATAAATAGTTTTAGATAATTACCCAATATTATAAGGAATTAAAACCAATTGTTCTAGCAGTGCCTCCTCTAATCTTCTTGCAAGCAACACTGATTTTGATTTCTCCCCAGCCATAGTTTTTCCACTAACGACACAAGGGTTAACAAACACAAATTGTTTCCTCCAATTGGAAGCCTTCAACACTTGATGGAGATGACTAATAAAAGAACCTTGGCCGATAATCCATGATGAAAAAAAAAATGTCTTTGTAAGAATGTATGTCTAAGTATTGTATTTTCATGTTAAAATGTTGACTTATATTCATTTTCTTCATGTCTTTATATTTAATTGTCTAACTATTTGACATTTTTTCTTAAATTTTATTTTATTTTATTCACAGGATGGATACTTCTCATGTCCTGCCTACTGATGGAGAGGATGCATGGTTACCAGCAACAGAACCAACATCTAATAAAAGAAAAGGCAGGAGTTCGACAACATTACCGGATGTCATAAAGGATAGGAGTTTGGTGTACGAAAAGCCATTGACTATAACGAGAATGGTCAATTGATTGGAAACAATTTAATCAAATGTTCAAGCTATCTTGGGGTGTTGGCTCGCACAATGATTCTGATATGCTATAAAGACTGGTTTGAGGTGCTAGCTGAACTGAAAGAAAAAATTTTGGAGTTGTGTGGAGGTAAGTAAGACACTTAAACATGTATTTAAGTGCAATCAAAATTAGAATTTTATAACGTTATATTTTTTGACTACTCAGTTAACATACAAAGTGGATGAAAGAAGTAAGAAAATGTGTTATCTTCAATTTGTTCAAAATGGAAGACATTCAAGAAAGAACTTACCCAGTACATATGTGAAAACAAGTCCAATCCTAGATCATATCAAACCCACCAGCAATTTATGGATTCATTGAACAAAGACATTGGGACTCATTTCTTGTAAGGCGACTATCAGAAGAGTTTAAGGTAAAAATAATCAAACTTTAGTTATTTAAATGTCAGTATTAAATGCTAGACCCATCAAACTTCGTATAGTTCTGTAATAACAGTGGCATGCCCCTTGTAATCTTGTAAATTTTATGTTTTATTTATGACTTATTCACCAAAAAAAAATATTAAATGCATACATTTGGATTAATTTTGTGTGTTACATTTTTCAAAGATTTTGAGCCAGGTTCAGAAATGGAGACGAAGTCAAAATAAGATAACCATAGAAATAGTCGAAAGGGCTATGCTCGCTTTCAAGAAGACTATGTAAGTAGTTATAAATTTTATTATTTAATAACAATTTTGATATCATTATTTGAAAAATTGATGTATGTTTAATTGACAGAAACGTATGATGGATCTACTGAAGATTGGATAGAAGCGTTCTATGGAAAAAAGCTCGTCAAAATAAAAATGGAGAATATGATGACAAGACAATTATGGAACAAGCTCGAGAATTGTAAGATATTTGTGTGTACTATTGCATTTATTTTATATTTATCTTAACTGTTCATCTTTTCTTATATAGTAATGTAATATTGTAGGATGAGTTGACCAAACAAAAAAGTGATGGGAGTTTAAAGATTGAAGGATGCAATGACATTCTTACTATGGCATTGGTCCTCCTGAATCTTCTAGTCGAGTAAGGGGTGTGGGAAATTCTGTCACACCTAGCACCTACTTTCACTTGCCTAGACGTGGGAATCAGTCACATTGGAAAAAAAGTGTAATGATCTTGAGGCAGTGGTGGTAAAATTGCAAGCTAGGCTTAGTGCAGTGGAACAACAAATACCATATACACCAGAATCTAAACATGTTAGTTCAAACATCTTGAGAAGTGGTTATGAAGGAAATTTTCAACCTGATTTTCTCTTAACAGAAAACAGAGTGAGAACTAAGGATGACATTCCACCCCAAGTCTTACCCAAAAGATTATAAAGGTGTGTAGCATTTAGAACACCTAAAGTTGTTATATTTTCTAATACTGTTAGTAATTTTATTAGTGCTTTGTTGTTATCTGTGTGTTTGTTATAGAGCAAATGTTCAAGCACATTGAAAAGTGGTGGTAGAGGCAATTTTCAGCATGATTCTTTATTAGCAGAAAATATGGTGAGAACTAAGGACGACATTCCACCTCAAGTTCCTAAACAAAATAAGAGAAAGGTGTGTAGTTTTTATCTATTGATGTTATAATTTCTAATATCGTTAGTGCTATTATTAGAAGTTACATTTTTAACTTTGTGTTGTAGGGCAAACCATGTAAACTCGCGATAGGTTCCATTGAAAATATTGTTGCTTATGGTGCAGTGTATGAGAGAATTGAACACAATGAAGCCATTCATACGGTGCCATTAGGAGAATCCAATGTACGTGTGTCTGTTGAATTGTTATTCAAAAAGATGCCCCTCTTCCTATACCTATCCCAGATGAGATGCTTATTGTTGGAGAAGCAGTGGGATTTTTGTTGCTTGGCCCAAAAATCTTGTATTGGTCGGTGATGAGGTAAAATATTCAAACTAGAAACTTTATTACAATTATATTAAAGTTAAAGTTGATATGTTTATTTGTTTATTTTGAAAATTTTAAACTTAGGGAGCTTCAATTAATGTTGAATGTGGAAAATATCAAGAGTCCATTCAATCTTTTGTTCATTAGTTGAGCATATCAAGTACGATGAAGCCATAGACATTCCACTAGAGAAAGACATATTTGGGGAGAGATCAATATCCAACTTCAAAGAGTAGACATGGAGTACATATGTCATGTAAAAAAATTATCTGTTACATGTATCATGTTATACATAAGGTAAGGAAAATTTGCTACATCAATAATTATTTCTGCAGATTTTATGAATTACGAATTTAATTAAAATTTGTTTA